AGAAGAGGACTTAGTGGAGCTGATGTCCTCATTGGCGTCGACCCCCAAAATTACTTCACATCCTTCATCGCGCCACTGGGTGATGGCTCGAAGTAGGTCCACCATAAAGGCCTCCCTTGGTTCACGCTGTCGACCTTGGGAGCGAAAGAAACTCCGGTGTTGTGCCCACACTGTAGACTCCCCAGTCCCCGGAGGGTTAGGTCGGTACGCAGCCACCACAACCAAATCCCTAGAAAAGCGACTCCTTGAAGCATCGGAAGCTTCGCGAACATGATCGTCTGGTGTTGGCATTGCAAACTTCTTGCCTTGGACGCGTACATATGCCCACCTGCCCAATTGAGTTGGGTCCCGGCCGAAAGATTTTGCCCGGTGGGCAACTGAGTTCAAGATAGTTGCCACACATCCACCGTCATTCTCTTTTTCTCGTTTCTCCAAATATGTACTTCGAAAATCCTAATATATCCAACAGAACCTTCCGCTACCCGCCAACCCTGCCCATCCCCATTGTGGTTATTTATCTCGCACCTCACCAACCCTCATTGTCTCTGTCTCCAAGGTTGGACGCAGCTCCCAGTCCCGCAGCGCCCAGATGGCACAGGGAACAAGCTGCACTTATGCGTGGGCTGTAAACAGGGGTTTACTGCCAAAGAAGAACGGCTGATGCACCTTCTCGAGACAAGGTTTTCACAAGTTTCGCCCCTGCCTTTCAGTGTATCACAAGCACTGCTTCCGTACTGGGGCCCCATTTACCACTCGGAGGAAAGGCGGGGAGGGTTTGTTCCTTCCCAACTCCGTCACCTGGCCCAATTTTGTGTGCGAGGCATGTACCGTTCGTCAAGTCACGCAACGCGAGCTGACTGGACCATCGGGCCAGCACCTCTTAATGCTGGAACGTATGCGGATGTTGGATACTATCTCTTACTGGGCGCGTGGGACCCATCAAACATACAGTTCCAAAATCAGAGCAATCCAACGCTTCCAATCGGACTACAACGTTCCCATTCTCAAGCCTACTACTCTCAGTGCGCCGCCAGGAAGCTCAGCAATCCCTCTGATGTGGTGCCAAGAATTGCACAGTGTCAAAATGTCCACTCGGAAATTTGATAGAGACGTGCAAGTTCCTCTTTCTTTCGGAACCATTCAACAGCTCAGATCGGCGACTTTTCAGTTCCATGCGTTGGACGCTCTCACTGCAAAACCAGACCAGGCTTACCTGACGAGAGACAACAAACTTCTGTACCAAGACTGTCGCCCCACTGACAGTCTTCAGTACACTTTCATGGCCAAAGGAATGGTGTCCCGCTTAGGAGACGACCCCAAACCTTCCATGGCCCTTTTGGATCAACACGTCCGGTGTCTTGATTCTGAATTGGATGCCCTCTTTTGAGCGGCCACTATCCTGTCGAAAAACGGGATATTGCTTTAGCCGGCCTTGCCAACCTCTCCCTCTGGCTGGGGTGGCTCCGGTCCTCTGAATGCTTTGATCTCAATTGGGATGCTATTGAATGCTTGGAACCAGAGGACGGTGATAAGGAGGAACTCCCCACCGGCTGTGGCCTCCTCAGGCTCCGTCTGGCGCCAGAAACCAAATCGGACCGGAGCCGGCGAGCCGATGTCCTCGTCGCCTATCGGACTCTCTCTGGCTTGTGTATTGGGCTTTGGTCCCATTGTACCAAATCCCTTTGTACGTCTCCTCACGGCCCGGTCTTCTACTCTACATCGGATACGCGTTGGACGTCGAAGTACTTCCGTGTCGCTTACCTGTACCCCTCCCTCCACCGCCAACATGATGCTGGGGACAAACTTCTCCCTTTGATGGCGGTCTCGGTGGTTCCATTGAGAAAAAAATCTGGTCGCTCCATTGTTACCTCGTGAAGGCCGGTCTCATGTTTCGAGAGGAGGAAATTTTGGGGCGTACGGCTTCCGAAAGGCCACGAAAGACCAAGTCTACGAGCATGCCCCCTGGCGCCACAGCCGGACTTCCGAGGCTATTGATGTGATCTACCGGGAATGGCTTCCCTTTGATCCGGTCCAACTGACGTTCTACTGTCATTGACGGTCCCAGGACATCGTCAACATCCATCCGCCCGTCGCGGGGGGAGGGGGGGATGATGAGTTGCAGGGTTGAAATTGCAGGGTTGCACCATGTCACAATCCAAAGGCAAGGTTTTTCATGTCAAAGAATATGAGCTTGGGGGAAGTAATGGAACGCTGGACCTACTCCTAGAGTGGGAACAGCGGAGGTCTGGAACCTAGAAACTCCTCGGAGCTTCCAGGACCCGGATCTCATCCAGAGCAGACGCCAGGGGCTCTGGGTGGGCAAGGGATGAAATACTGTGACATGAAACCTGGAGCTCGTAATGAACAGAAGACCAATCCGACTGACACAGGACACACCAGAAAGCCAAACAAAAAAAGAAGCCAGAAAAGAAACTTGCTGCTGTTTCTCGATGATGTCGGAATCCTATGAAGAGTACGAAAAAGTAAGCTTGATCGCTTGGTCCTCTATCGGTATTCCACGAACAATTGAATGCTGCAGCTTGATTTATGGTCCAAGGCTCTCACCTTTTTTCTGCTCAAGGAATACAATGCTTTACTTTCGAAAATCAGAAGTTTCTTGGCTGGGAATCGTTCGCAAGTAACGTTGCAGGAATGTGAACGTCTCTTGGCCGAAGCCAAGAGAAGTGCCGGGGCAATGCAAGGACTTGCTGAGGTCGAGGGGAACGCAATGAAGATCCGCGAAGCGTCTCTTCGACTTGAGCGGGACATTGCTCCTCTTTCAAGAGAAATCAAACGTGCCATTGGTCAAGGCAATCGGGAAGAGCTTTTCTACCAAGCACCTAGTGGCAATGATAATCAAGATATGCAAAGTTTGATCCGAGGGACCGAGGACTTGCTCAGAGACAGTCAAGCTCTGTGCCTTGAAACGGGACAGATTGGAGATGGTTTGCTTAACCAAATGACACAGCAAAGGGAACAACTCCATAATACGAGATCTAACATTGACGCAACCAGAGAATTTGCTTCTCAAGCGGGAACCATTCTGACTCGCATGTCGAGAAAGGCGCTGAAAAACAAGTTAGTCCTTTATGCGTTGATAGGAATCCTACTTGTATCAAATGTTCTTGCCTTGGTTAAGATCTTTCGCTAACTGGGTGAATGATTACGAGGTACGATACTATCAAATGCCGTTTACCACTATTATAGTGATTGTTATTATTATTATTATCATTATTATACCTACAGCATCGCCCAAAGACGAAAGGTCCACATTTCGTTCCTACAACAAAGAAACATCACGATTCAAGTTGTAGCTGGCGTATCTCAGTCGTATTGTTCGAGGATTTCATGCTGATTGAATGAGAAACACCGGGTGGACTTAACAACATTTCACAGGTGCGATAGCTGTCCCACCCGCTGCTTCACTTGCGCTTTACGTATTGCATTCCAAAAAGAAAGCCTTCGGATCATGTGCGACGAAATTGAAAATCAAAACTTAAAGTTGGATCACCCAGACTCAGCAATCCGGCTGTCATCCGCTGTCCATCGATTCCAAATGCCCAGTATCAACTCGCAACGTAAATTGTCCTTCGCTTGCAGTTTTAGTACAACAGGGCGTCATGAGAAAACACGAAAGCTCATGCTGAATGCTGATTCTAGTAGAAAGAACTTGATGGAGGCACTTTCGGCAACGAAAGTCTCACACGAACGAGTTGTTGCAGATTCACGTCGATACGGACCATTGATCAACCAGATATTGGTCTCTTGTAAATTTCAACCAGAGATGGCCATGCTAGATGAACGCCTTGTGTTTGATTGGTTGTCTGGTCTTGAAAGGTCTAAAGACCCGTTCAAGTCCGAAGCGATGATGTACGACCTCGTGATGTGTATCGCATGCGAAGGTCTCGGTAAAGCTGGCGTCGCGACAGAATCCAGCATTGCTGGCGAGTTCGCTGCTGCAAATAGAGAGTACGCTGCAGCTGCTGGGATATTTGAGTTCTTGGCAGATGAGTACTTACCAAAATGGGCTGCAAGGGGATCTCAGGTAGACGATTCCTCCCTCCCAGTTGAATGCTCAGTGGAAACCGCGAAAGGTTTGAGCATGTTGTTCAAGGCGAACGGGCAGCAAATGGCTGTAGCCACGGTGTTGATAAAACCTGGAACACCGAACTATTCGCTTCTTGCCAAATTATGCCTTGGAATAGCCGAACAGCTGGAATCTTTCGTTGCTTGGATGCGTGACAATGCGTTCAAGCAAATGACTCGGCTTGAAAAGGATTTCTTCACGTTGGTGACGTTCCAAATCCAGTTACAGAAGTCTCTTTCTTGCTACTTTTATGCTCGAAGCCTGTGGGACGAGAAGCAAGAGTATGGCCTCGCAATAGCCTCCCTGTCGGAAGCAACACTATCGATTCGTACTCGCGCTTCTGAAGCCGCAGTTGGGGTCCCAGATGTGTCAAAAATCCCTTCCCTTCGAGCGCTGAAAAAAGATTTGGACGACTTGCGAGCGCACATGGCTTTGCTACTTGAAACTTGGGAAAAAGATAACTCAGCCGTCTATTTTGAAGCAGTGCCACGTTCAGTTCCGCAAGACAAAAGGCTTCAGGCTGGGATCTCCTTCGGCAAAACTGAGAAATATCACGTAAAGGATCCGGACCCTGTGCTTTTGTCTCTTCCAGAGGAAACACTGCAACGTTCAGACAGCAATCTGGCTAGGGAACTTCAGGAAAAGCTCAACTCTGGATTATAAATTTAGTTAGTTATTTAGCCAGTTAGTTAGTAAAGGGAAAGTTTACATTATCTGCTATGACAGGTGGGGTGAATGACGATTGTTCGTGGCTCAGACTTCTTTTGTGCAAGCATACGAAAGAACATTCTTCGTTTCGACAGTCTACACCAAGTTTTTTGAGTAATGGGATATTCGTTCAAATTATTGTTTCAACGACAACCGAAGACCACCTCAAATTTGTGCCCGCCCGATCACTCCAAAAGGGCTTGTTCTTTCTTGAAAAGAGCAACTATTTCAACAATGGGTAATCTCCATTGTAAATCTTCCCCGAAACGAAATCAAAGTCATATTCAATCAAATGACCTCGAGTGGATTGGAAGTGTTCCAAACCAGCCGACGTGTTTCCTCTTCGAATTGGCTCATTTCTACCTCATCTTCTTTCTCGTCGGTTTGACGACGGGGAGTAGCTTGCAGCCCCCGCTTCCGTTGATCAAACAAACTAGAGCTGAGTCGCAGCTGTTTCTTGGCAGAAGCAAGAGCCATTGATCCTAAGAAGAAACAGAAAACCTGGAATCTCACCTTCGAATTAAAATGGAAGCCATTACTAAGATTTCAATCGTGGTTCATAGTCCATCTGATGCAAGATAACCTACCATTGAAAATTCACCATCTGCCTCCGTTCTCTTGCAACTTTTATAAACCTCATTTTTTTCTTCGCCACCAGAAGCTTCTTCACGTTTCAACGTATCGACCGTTAGTTTACAAAATGCAATGAACCAGAAACCGTAAGATCAATTCATTGTCTCACCAATGTTCGACTGCCCATCCAAACTGCAATAAAACCTCTGTCGACGACCTGTAGCCTTGCACGCTTCACTAGTTCGAAGATCATTAGATCTGCACATTTCACACTTCCCTGCAGCGTTGCACTGTTGCTTCGATTTGATTGCAACTCGACGGCGTGAGGAGCGAGTCCCTAGCGCGGTGGAACTACTGAAGATGACACACAGAATCATACAGACCACCAAGAGCCGTGAATGCAATGATATCATCCCAGCAACTGTTTGGACACCACACTTCGCAGAGTGTTGATGATATCTGCAAGTGGCCCCTCTTCTTTTCACAGGGCAACTTTGCTTTTACTACTTTGTGGGTGTGCAAGGGAAAACTGAAATGTATTACCTATTATTGTCAGGATCGAGTTAGTCGTCTTGCGACTTACTAGATCGTATGTCCGTATGTCCTCATACCTCCCAAATGGCGGCCCAATTCGCGGCGTCATCACTGGGCGCCTCAAGAAGTTTCTTATCTATGCATCTGCCCCTTCAGTGGTCATCGATCCCAGTCTTACCTACCGGTACCAAAAGATTGTGCAATTTTCGATTGACCAAGCAAAACACAATATGCCTACTACTCCTATTGATTTGACAAAAGCGATTGGCGAACGTCAAGGCATGAAGTTTTGCTTTCCAGAGGTCGAACCATTCAGTGGCGAATCTACTGTATATTGGCCTTGGACATCTAAGGTTGCTTTGGAATTTGAACAATCCGGTATAGAACTTGCTCTAACGGATGCAAAGTTCCATGAACAATCTACTTGGCACAAGGATGCATCAAGTCAGGGTTTCTACGCAATTGCAAAAGCTCTGAATGATGGTACCACTAGCCATATTGCCGATGAAGTGAAAGAAAAGAAGGGACAAACTGTGGCCTACGATCTTCACCAACAATTACTGGAGACCTACAACTCTCCGGAGGATCAGGCTTATTTTGTAATGTATGCAATTGACGAGTTGACTTCCATCAAGTTGACTCATGAAGTTACAGTTCCTGATTTTATTTCCAATTGGAAGTCTATTACTACAAGATTGCGGAAAAGTAATCAATCACTGGCAACAAGCCATGAGCTTCTCCGTGTTTTCCTCCTCAAGGCAATTGTCTCTGATACATACAGTGACATGAGACGTTACATTGTGAAGTGGCTCGCCGTGGAGCAACTGACAAGAGCTACAAGAAGAGGACCGGTGTCAAATTTGATAAGGATTATTCGAAAGAGTATCCAAAATGGCACATTCCTCAGTTTCCAATCGGTTGGGACAAGAGTTTTCCGAATGGTCTCTTCACAAGGATGTTGACCTGGCGTGAAACATGCCACGGTACCAACTTGCAACCCGGAAAAATCGATCGAGAGTTTGGTATGAGACCAAAGTACATTGGTGTCAAACGCAAAGATCGTAGAGGAGCTACTAAAGATGGTGAAGACGGTGACAAAGGTCGTTCTGACGCACAGCCAAACAAAAGTGGAAAACAATGGCTGATCCAGTCCTACTACAAGAAACTTTGGACGGATCGTCGTGGAAAAACGTCTCAAGCCCACGTTACCATTACAGAGTGGTGACAGGGACGTGGACGTGCCCAACAACAACAAAAACGGGCGCTCCGCCGTCTAACACCCATGCCCCATCCCACCAAATCCATCCTGATTACCGACAGTGGCGCCGACCAATTCTTGGCAGGCTATGTTTGGAGGAGGATTGGAATCACTGGAAGACATATTGCATTCACAGGGCCTATTGCAGGTCGAGACATTGGTACTGTCTTACCAGTGTCATCAGTTGCCGCTTGTTGGGATGACGAAATATGAGTTTTTACGTTCCAAAAAGAAACTATTCAAGTACAAGGTTTTCGACACGTGCGATCGGACTTTGATCGTGATGTCGGGATTTGACGCAAGTCTGCCGGACGCAAGTCTGTCGGACAATCTGTATCCACACAAAAAGGAAAAGATCCTATACAAGTGGAATATGGATGTTGTGTACGATGCAGTAGGGAATAATGCAAGATGTCCCAAAGTACTGCATTCAACACAGAATTGTCGTAGAAGTCGAATCGAGTTCTGTAAACAAGGGATTTTCCAAGGGAAAATCGTTGAACTCACTTTTGTGATTGAATCATCAATTCAAGCCAAACATTAATCAAAGAGGAACAATTTCACTCAAAGTATACCTAGACACAGGAGAACTATTGTCGTGAAAGTGTTGTACAGCCGATTACGAATTTGGATTGCAGAGAGTTTGTTCTGAGCGCTAAAGGCACTCACGATAGAGCACATTTTGCTTTATTCTAACATTCAATCACAGAGTCATTAAGAAACTTCGAATTCCAAATCATATCAACAGACGGAATCCTGAAGTTGGGAGATATAACTCATTGCGAGGGAATCCTTGAGTTATAACTCAAATGTGTGAGTTATAACTCAAATGTGTGAGTTATAACTCAAACGTGTGAGTTTTTACTCAAACGTGTGAGATTTTACTCAAACGTGTGAGTTTTTACTCACGGAGCCGAGTTTCCCCCTTTTCCAAAACCGTTGCTGGAAATTTGAGCCGGCGGACCAACGACTACTTTCGCCAAAAGATACAGTACTGTACTTTTCCAGATCCAAACTCCATAAAAAATCTTGTCATGCAACATCATGACCACTGAGACCGCCAATAACGACCCATCAAGGGCCCTTTGTCGTAATGCCTCAGCTGCAAGCAGCCGTACTGCGATGTTTCCAAATCGCATTTTGATTGTATTGTGAGTTTAAAAAAAAGAATTGGCATCAAATTTTTGGCGTGATGGAGGTGATCCCAACGGATGATTTTTCATTTGTGGATCGCTTGAAGCTGCCCTTCCCCCATTGAAGAATGTCATCCCCCTGACATTTTCTGAGTACGTTTGTCACGTCTGAGTTATAACTCACACGTCTGAGTTATAACTCAACGCCGTGAGTTATAACTCAGGATTCCGTTGTGATTTGAGTTATAACTCAGAAAAAGTCACAATGACCAATCGGTCATCCGTGTCCATAAGTCCCTATTTGATAAATCATCACATAATTAATAATTAATACTTAAAGGGAGAAATAACATAGATTTTCCGAAGCTAAAAATATAATTTTATATCTCCGGGCATGAGCACATGGAAATTTGCGATCAGTGTCCCGAAAATACTCGGTCTGAACATTTGCCGGGTGTTCCAGGCCAATACTCACGGTCAACAAATCCGAAAACGGATTCGGCCCTTGCGCGTTTTTCGCACCATTTTTGCAATTCGTTTTTCTGGCAAAAACATGTCAAACTCTCGGTTGACAGATTGCGAAAACGGACAGACTATTTGAGTCATTTGGACGACTCCATTTTATGTCCTTGCGGGCCGTATTCAGTAAATGATACTTATAATTCGAATTTTCCGAAAACATTTTTGGTTATATGATTGGCTAAGGATCTATCCTAATGACCTTCTCTCCCCATGAGGATTCTATTAATTTCCCTCACTTTCCCTCACCCGCGGGTGAGCAAAATATATTTCCCTCACCCGCAGGTGAGGGAAAGTGAGGGAAAGTGAGGGAAAGTGAGGGAAAGTGAGGGAAATTGAGGGAAAGTGAGGGAAAGTGAGGGAAAGTGAGGGAAAGTGAGGTTTTGTGAGTTTTTCTATAGCAGCAAGATCGGGGGATTAAAGCAGGGGATCGCCGAATTAAACAATATTCTCGCCAAAAATGATTTGACAAAAAAACAAACAAGCAAACAATCTCCCAGTTCTTCTTGTCACCAGTGGTGACAAGAGAAATGGCATTGGAGGTGTGAACCCAACCGACGCAGACGCATTGTTCGAGTTTCTCTAGGATGAATCGTTCTGTAGAGGGCAGACGAGAGTACTAATCTGCAATGGCAATTCATTTTTCTTACTGTGTAGGTACTCATACTTATTGTTTGTGGAAGTTTTCAATCGGTCTGGTTGAGCGGGACTTACTGAGCCACAGTACGGGGGCAGGTAACAGGGAATTTTCTCCTCACTTCGATGAAATCCCTCACTTGAGGGAAAATGAGGGAAAGTGAGGGAAAGTGAGCAAAACAAATGCGGGTGAGGGTTTTTGCGGGTTCGCTCAATTTCGCTCACTTTCCCTCACTGGGGGTGGCTCAAAAGTAGGTTTTTATGGGGGACGGACAAACAAGTACTTACTAAGTCTAAAACAGATGAAAACGGAACTTCAGAATCTACCATTTCGAGTTCTCAAAATCCCCCAAAGTGACTGTTGATATACAAGGAACCAAGTCAGATTCCTGTGAGTAGGATTCCGCTGTTCGTACTGGAAATCCCGTACTATTACTTGTACGTACCTTTTACCACGAAAATCTGTAGGGCCAAAAGTATGATGACTAAAATCTGTAGGGCCGGAAGTATGATCGATTTCCAAGTCTCATAAACGCTACAGCACTTCGAAGTCAGCAGAATATTTTGTGCTGAGTCGCAGCTCTAGATATTTGGAATGGATACACGCAGGGCACAGACAGAATGCAGGCTGATGGACCGATTCAACGTTGAGTTCGAGTGGTAGTGATGCAAATGCTGTTACTGTACCTGTCAGAATGAAATTTCGCAGATGTTTCGTTGGGAAGTTATAGTCCATATACAGTTCCCCACTATCAACAATCAGCCTCTTGGAATATATGTTGTTGATCTGAGACGCTTGGTGTTGCTAGCTTTTTTCACGATGGCCTCTCATGAAGATGACAAAGACGAGATGTCTGGACCCACCTGCAAAAGAATCCAAGACTGGCACGAACAGCGAAAAGAGGAGCACCATGCGAGAGAGTTTGCATTTCAGCATTGCGTTGCAGGCTTGACACTGTTTGCATCTTTTCCAGATCCAAAGCCACTTCCCTTGAAGGCGTTTATGATGGAATATTTGGGGACAGCACCACAAATGAGTAGCCTGAGCTTTACCTTTGCTTTGGAGATGCTCCATAAGGATTTCAAGAAGTACATGTATCCGCACGGCCATTAAGTCTGCAAAGACACCGAGCTGTATATATTTCTGACTTCAGTCACGACGAACTATAGTTTTGACTAATAGATCTAGTATTTTAATTATTTTTCTTTTGAATACATATTCAGCACTAGAATTTGGCAAGAAGAACTAGCGATAATATAGCAGAAAGCCAATCTAGTACAAGCCATCCCAGTCTTCTTCGTCGATTGTGATAGCAATTATCAAGATAGCTACACCTTGGAAAAATTCATTCTGTGAGACAACACCGCTTCAAACACACGTTTCAAACATCGTATTCCCCGCTTCAAACATGGTATTCCACGCTTCAAACATGACAGTCTCACGTTTCAAACATGGTATTCCCCGCTTGAAACATGGTATTCCCCGCTTGAAACATGGTATTCCCCGCTTGAAACATGACAATCTCACGTTTCAAACATGGTATTCCCCGCTTGAAACATGGTATTCCCCGCTTGAAACATGGTATTCCCCGCTTGAAACATGACAGTCTCACGTTTCAAACATGGTATTCCCCGCTTGAAACATGGTATTCCCCGCTTGAAACAT